TCAAACACTGCTGCAGTTAAATATTTTACCCTTTGTTCTCCCTGCGTGATCTACAATAACAATCTGCTTCGTGTTGATATTTATTGCTGTGTCCCTGACAATTCCCTGAAAGAGGAGTTGGGGTGCTTCACTGGGCTGGAAAAAGTTTAGCTACATCAGAAAGCAGGTCTAATTAAGCAAGTTTATTCTATATCTATAAAAGGCTAAAAGTTGACTCGCGCATGCACGATTCATATAAAGTTCCCGCTGGTGCTAATCGCACTCCTCGGTTTCGATCTGTCATTGTCAATCATGAATTTGGTTGACACTTCTATTATAGAGAAAGGACAAATAGCAATACTGAAATATTTCTTCTAATTAATTTCCTTTCAACAAGGGCCACTAGTTACAAATACGATGAAGAATCACATTTGTGAAAACCAATATTACAAAAAGAAACACCCATCTACTGTGTACCAGTAAAACTACATATCCTCCCAATAGCTTTCCAGAAGTATGTCTTATAATCCTTGCATCTTATATACAAGTTAACATAGCAGTTATAGTTTACTTGAGAGGGAACTTAGTTGAATGGTTAAGGGCACAGGCTTCACAGGAATCCTAACTCCATCACTTATAAGCTGATGTCCTTGAAAAAGTCACCTGACCTTTCTAACCCTCAGTTTCCTCGTTTGTAAAATTCCATAGGTTTGTGGTTTTTTTTTGTTAATTCTCACTGGAGGATATTTTTCCATTGATTTCTAGAGAGACATCAATGGAAAAATGGAAGGGGTGGGGGAGAGACAGAGATAAACATCGGTGTGAGAGAGACACATCGATTGGTTGCCACCCACACACACCCTGAAGAAGGCCAGGGATCAAGCTTGCAAACGAGGTACATGCCCTTGACTGGAAAAAAACCCAGGGATCCTTCAGTCTGTGGGCCAACCCTCTATCCACTGAGCCAAACTGGCTAGGGCAGTGTTGTTGTTTTTGTTTGTTTGTTTTTAAATATATAGTTTTATTCATTTCAGAGAGGAAGAGAATGGGAGAGATAGAAACATCAATGATGAGAGAGAATCATCCATCAGCAGCCTCACTCACAGCCCCCACTGGGGATTGAGCCGCAACCGGGCATGTGCCCTGACTGGGAATCTAACCATGACCTCCTGGTTCATAGGTCAATGCTCAACCACTGAGCCACATAGGCTGGGCTCCATACAGTTTTTGAGATTAAATAAAATAATAAATGTAAAGTTTTAGCACAATGTCTGGTATATTTTTAAACAACTATTATTTTATTATGTATAATTAAACCACTCAAGACTTTTTACTCACACACTTTTTCATTTTATCTTTTGATAAAATGTACTAATAGAATATTGGTACTAGTTAAGAAGAAAAGATTACAGAATTGGAGCAAAGTACATTGAGATAAGCTTGCTCCAAAGATGTAAATGACAAGTAACTGCTATATCATTATACAAGGCAAAAGTACAACACTGTGTAGGGATAGGTTCAATTATGAGATAGTTTACCTACATTTCAATGTGTTATAGACCTAAGCTATAAGGCATTTCTTAAACTAATAAAATGACAATCAACGCTAGGAAGGCAGGCATGTCAAAAGACACTAAGTCAATCTCAGATAGAAGCTCTTTATTATCCATGAATTGGCCTTAAGAATATATATGCCTTGCCCTGGCTGAGTAGCCGGTTGGTTAGAGCATCACCCTGACATGCCAAGATTATGTGCGGGTTGGATCCCCAGTCAGGGCACATATAAGAAACAACCAAGGAATGCATTAATAAGTGGAAAAACAAACTGATGTCCCTCCCCACCCCCCCAAAACAATTAAAAATTACTTGTTTTTTAAGTAGTAAAAAAAAAAATGTGCCTTTTTCTGGGGAGAGGATCCATAGATTTCTATTAGATTGCTAAGGGGATTATGACCACCAAAGGGTTAACAAATTTTGTTCAAATATCAGATGTTCTGCTAACAATTTAATTAGAATAGTCTGAGTTCCAATTATAAACCTTGTCTTAGAGGGGTCAAGTACAATATTATTTGCGTGATTATTTGGTCTCTTAAGAGTCTGGAAATCGAGGAAGGAGTAAGTCTGATGCCAACACAGACACTATGATCTGAATACAAAGCAAGAGACTTTATAAAAGACAAAGGTTTTAAACTGGAGGATTTCTGTTGAGAACATACTGTAAGATCCCCAACTAGTACAATTTGGATAGTCGAGTGAGATATAAATTTTTAAAAATTGATGTTTTAAAAATCAAACTAAAAATATCATTATAACAACTTCGTTTTGCTTCTCCAAGTTTTAAATACCTTACCTTATATAATAAACCAAACTTGTCAACCATCCAAATTTTCTTTTGTGCCTCTTCTTCTGGGAGGCCACTTTCTACCATAGCCATAACTATAAGATTTGCAATTCCAAGAGCAGCCTGTCAAACAGAACAAAAATTTAAAAAGTAAACACAAGAATATGATGCAATGCTTGAATTATAATGTCTTATTATGAGGAATATTTGGTTTATTCTTCCCTTACAAATCACACAAAGCTGATTCTTTGTAATATTCTCTAAGCATATTTTAAATTATCTACTTTACAACAGAAAATTTAAATTACAAAGATCTCCTTATCTATCTCAAAAGTATAAGCTCATTATGCCCCATTTTCCAATTCTAAAGATGAGTGTTGGTTTTAAATTCAAAACAGCTTACAGAAAATTACCTCTCCTGCTCCAAGAAATAAGATTTTGTGTTCTGAGAGTGATTTACCAACAACTTTTTGTGCTCCAAGAAGACCTGCGAGAGCTACTGAAGCTGTCCCTACAAGAAAAATAAAGATTTTTAAAAATAAAAAAGTGGTCACATAAAAAGCGTTTAAGAAATAGAAATTAAAATCCTGAAGTTCTCTTTTTGCTTTACCTTGAATATCATCATTGAAGGTACAGTATTTTTCTCGATATTTTCTCAAGAACCTGAATGCATTATGATTTCCAAAGTCTTCAAACTGAATAAGTGTGTTCCGTCCATACCTAAAAAACAGCAAAACCCATAATGGTTGTGTTGAAAAGCCACTACTAAACAGCTTTCCTGTCTAATATTCCTTATGATAGCATTACAAAATATGTTGTTAGTTCATTTAATGCCATGTGGCAATTTTCAGAGTCTATGAAAGACTAGACTCAAAATGTAGAAATCCATCTCTCATTCAGAAAATTTACAGGGTACTTCAAATGAATGTAGTACCAGGGTGAGCCTATGGAATATCAATCTGCATAAACTATTTCCAAGTGCCTATAAGGGTGCCCAGCACATAAATGCACCAAATAACTTCTTTAAAAAAGAGATTTTGTTTCTGAATCTCAAATGTATAATATTAGCTATGTATACTCATTACATTAACAGTTAAACAGCAATACAGGAAGTATATACATAAAAGGTTAAAAAATAATCGAGAAAATTAAATGAAATAACAAATGTAAAGTTTTAGCATAATGTCTGCTATATTTCAAACAACTATTATTTTAAGTTATGTATAATGGAAGCACTCAAGATTAGGAGGCTACTATAGCATGAGTTCATGAGCATTCAGAAAAAGGCGTCATTCATCTTGGTGAGATGGGGTAATAAGGGAAGGTTTACAAAGGAGGTGAGACTTTATTTGGGCCCTGAAAGAAGAACAGAAAGTCAAAAGGTAGGAAGAAAAGCAAGATATATTTCGGTGACTCTAAATTTTCAACAGTCTGGCTTTATATGAAAAGATAAGGGAGAAACTGGTTAAGGTGAGTTGGGCCAGATAAAGGAGGATCTTGCATGGCAATTAGGGAATGGGGGCTTCATTCTGTACCTGGTGCAGGATCAGTGAAGGCTTCAGGGAAGGAAAGAATTCATGTACAACTCCCTTCAGGAGTGATGCACCTGCCATTAACATGCCGCACAGATTGGTGTGGGGAGAAAGGAGAAAGCAGCTAGGAGGCTGCTCTAGCACGAGGACCAAAAGATCGGAAGCAGAAGCCATAGGAAGTAAAAAGGACGATATGAGACATTAGAATAAACAAACAGAATTTGATGAGGAGGCCAACTGGGAAGTAAGGAGGAAGTCTGTTAAAATACTACGGTAACCTGGATCACTAAGAAGCTACCATTTGACTGTATAAGATAGGAAAGTAGGGGAGATGGCAATTTCTAGGATAATGATAAGTTTAGTTTTTTTAGATGTGTCAACTTTGACTGAAAAAATTTTAAATATCTCCTATGTACCAGTAATTTAAAAGGCAGGGCAGGGTTAGGTCATTTATGTAAAGAATTTGGACTTTGTCATAAAAGTAGAGTTTAGACTTTACCCTATGTCAATAGAAAAGCAATTAGAGATTTCAAGCAAAAGAATGACATAATGAAGTACAGGTTTTAAAAAAATTTAATCTGGTGGTAACGTGGAGAAGAGCTGGAAAGGAGAGAAATTGGAAAATGGTTTAGAAAAACCCGGAAGAGAGATGAGAATGTGCAGAAAGACTGTAGCAATGGGAGAGAGGAGATCTATTTCTGAGGCATTTGAGTGGTACCACCAACTGGATTTGAGGATTGGAGAAGGAGAAGAGTCAAGGATAACACCAAGTTTAAAGGTTTGGCAATAGGGTGAAGGTTACTGCCATTAACAGAGGCTGAATACACAGAAGATAATAAGCAGTTTGGAATGGGAAGGCGTTGTTTTGGACATGAATATGAAAGAGCAACAGAATGTCTGGTGGAGAATTCCAGGTATTAGAAATACAGGCCTCAGAAGGAGGTGGGACTGCATAGATGGGTTTTCATGGGGGGAGGAGTCACATGCATAAAGGTTATAGCTTACCATGTACTCATTCACATGTAATAAAAATGAGCAAGAACCAATGAAGATAACTAAAGAAAGAAAAAGGCGGGTGAAAGACCAAGTGAGGAAAATCTTGGTAGTCAAGAGAAGAGGGAATTTCGAGGATTGCAAAACCTGGTGAGGTGCTGCAGACAGATGGAGAGAGAAGAGGACCAAATGGTCATGAAATTTAAAACATGAAAGCGGCACAAGAGTTTCACCAGAATGGGGAAATGAGCATGATGCCAAGGGCTGAAAGAACTGGACAGTGAGGTTCTGATAGGAGCAGTGAGTGCAGACTTCTCTCAAGATGTCGGACAACTTTCCCTGGCCAATGTTGCTCAGTGGTTAGTGGTTAGAGTACCGGCCTGCACAACGAAGGGTCACGGGTTCGATTCCCAGTCAAGGGGTCATACCTGGATTGTAGGTTCAATCCCAGGCCCCAGTTGGGCCGTGTGTGTCTCTCTCACACTGATGTTTCTTTCTCCCCCATCTCTTTTCCCCTCCCTCCCTCTCTTCCACTCTCTAAAAATTAATGGAAAAATATTCTCAAGTGAGGATTAACAACAACAGCAAAATATATTGGACAACTCAGGGAAAGCAAGGCAGAGTGGGTAGGTTATCACCATGTATCAGCACATCTATATGACATTTCTTAGCCCCTCCAGCAGCGGACCTTCGTTTAAGAACCAAAGTTCTCAAAATTTAATCTCCTACCTACCTTTATAAGAGGTGAACAAAACAAAACAAAACAAAACTGTGATTTTTTTCTTTAATTAAAGATGCTTTTATATACTCAAACTTAAAAAATACCTGTCAGTAATGGCCTTCATAAACTCATCAATTAGATCATCATAACGTTGTGATCGGTCTCGTTTCTGATATAAGCCCATGTAAAATGGATCTTTTAACAGTGCCTATAAAATAGACCAAATGTAGAAATAAAATTATTTTGTTACATAACCAGTTTAAACATATTTTTAAAACAATAATCACAAAATAAATTATTAATATAGTTTTTTTAAACCTTACTGCCTTGCCCTACTTCAAGACACTTTTAATAGGCTAATTTACTATTATTTTTATAGATATTAAAAGCGGAGTTTGAGACAAAGACTAACATCTAATCACAAAATTTTCCTTCTTATATTATCTTCAAAAGAGGAATGAAATAAAAAATATCTAATATGGAAGGAGGGTCAGAGGGGGAAAATGGTTTTACTCACTGGGTTATCAGTTCCTACATCAATGCACACAGGCAGGCACTTGTCAGGCCGTATCCCTGCACAAGCTGTATACAAGCAAAGTTTTCCTACTGGAATTCCCATTCCATAGACGCCCAGATCGCCAAGACCCAGAATTCTCTCGCCATCAGTCACCACAACAGCCTTAATTACAAAAAAAGAATAATAATAATTATTAATTAGAAATGGTAAAAAAGAGAAAGGGACATTACAGAAAAGCATTTTAAAAAAATTTCTTGATATTTGTACACTCACTTTAAAAAATAAAATTGCTTCTTGACTATCTTCCAAAGTAAACCAACCAAGCATACTTAAAATTGTAGTATTTCTAGAATGTAGACATCAAAAAGAGCACTAACTAGATTTGACTTCCTATCTTTAGGAACATAATGCTTCTGACTGGAGGATTAGCCAAATGCCTCACAAAGACTAA